TTTTGGTTTTTAAAACATTTATATGGCTAGATCAATGAAGTTATGAAAGGCAAAATGGAAGAGGAATTCTCAGTTCTTCCTTTGGATAATATTAAGAGTAAGATTCTCTTGAAGTTCAAATTAGAAGACTTTGTGTAAGATTTTCTTTTGGTTTTAATGAGGAGTCATATGAGACTTAGAAATAAATAGGTCTATGTGTTGAGTGTACTTAAACATTAGAGCACATCTGTACATAGTGTAAAATATTTTTGCTATTAATTGAACTTTCCTGAAATTCTCCTTTAAAAGAATAATAAACTTTGAAAAGTCTTCAATTAGACTTCTTTTGGAATAAGCTGGATCTCAAGTAAGATACCCAGTTTTTATAAATCATAAACTTTTGTGAAGATTTTTAATATAGCAAAAATTTATTTTTCTACTTATTCTTTCATAGATCATTTATCCATCACATTATTTCTTGGTACTATATGTTTCATTTAATTTATGTAAATCATTTTATTTAATCCTTGCAACAATCATATTAAGTTGATCTTCTCAGTCATAGTTTGCTAATGAGAATATAGAGTGTCATGGAATGTAAACAATTTTCTCAAGATCACTCAGCTAGTGAGAGTCAGATCATGGTTAAAACACAGATTTATGTGAATTGAAACACCATAGTTTTAACTGAGAAAAATTTTTACTTCATGAAAAAATAGTAACAGAAGCTAAATGAGTTTCACTTGTGGTTTTATTTGTACTTTTATGAAAATTTCTAGATAGCAGTATATAACTTCAAAGATGACAGTAAATTTCTTGAAGGATTATTTTTCTAGCTCAAAAATTAAAATGGATCACAGAACCACAGAATTCTAACATAAATTAATTTTTCACTTGGATTTAATTTTTAGATATCTTAAATGTTATTAATATTGTTTCTGTGTACCTGTTTAACATTTGATATTAAGTAGCTATTTTTTAAAAAGCAAGTGTGATCTATACATACAGATTTTTCCATCCTATTTATTTTCGAGAATGTCTTGTGTTTTAATAACAATGTATACATGGAAAAACAGTTCATGTTGAGGAATTAATCTTATATTTTAACCAAGGGTCTTTTATATAAACAAAATACCTTATGTGGCTAAGACAATAAAAAGATGTGCTGGAGCTTTCTGCCAAAAAATGTAGCCACTAATATTCAGAGATTAACAGTAAATGAAGTAGGAGGTAGAGATTGAAGATGTGCAGCTATGGAGAGGATGAATTTGATCTATCACTTGGATGACTCTTCAAGATTGGTGATTCAGGCTACCTTATGTAAATGTAGATTCCTGTTTATAATACTTTTATATAGCAAAATCCCTTGAGAGTCAGATTAACTGCATTTTACAGAGAGAAAAGGAATTACCCCAATTTTCCATTTCTAAATTAAAGGAATTTTGTGATTCTTTATTGATTTGACTAACATTTGGGTTTTTAAGATATTGTAGTTAACATAAACATTGCTTTTCACAAGGAATCATCATAGCACATCTTCATAGTAGGTATTTTTAGTACTTCACATTTATTTGACAGAGGTAGATTTTTGATGTGTTGAGAAAGTGTAGGTAGTTTGTCTTAGTTACTTTTCT